TTCATTTCGTATGCATTCTGACATCTCTCTGTAAAATGGTATAAGACTCGATCGAATTGCATCACTGGTGCTACACTGGGGAAGCCCCGAATTTTAATAGATATGATTGGTATAAAATAGGTATATTTATTTTATTTATAATTTATAAATCATAACTCCATAAAATATAATATACCTACCTACTATATTATAAATTATAATATACCTAGTAGGTATATTATATTTTAAGGATTTGCATGCATGCACATGTGCATTGTGTAGAGATTTAGAGATTTATTTAAAAATGAGTTCAAGTGAAGAAGATTCTCAAGGGTATATTTATAAATATTACAATTTTAAATATGTATGCATATTTATTAATTAATTAATTATTTAAATGAGTGCCTTTGTCACAGCAAATAATAATAATTAAGTATTTTGTAACTTATTTTAAGATTTTCCAAAATCCTCGAACAGGGTGGCTCTGTGAAGTGCCAAGTGAAGAGACAAAATTTAAAATGTCGATGGTGTAATGCAATACTTTATAAGGGTGTTTTCAATAATGAATGATGTGAAAACAAAAAAACGAAACAGACTTCAAGAAAATACATTGAATTCATAGATTAATTTCCTTTGCGTATTGCGTACCCATTTTAAAGATATTATGGACTCAAGGTACAAATTCTGCAAAAATGTCTGTCACCAAAAAACATTTATAATTTAATGAAATAAAATAATTTATTTAATTCCTAAATCATGGTGTATAGTTTTTTGTTCTGCCTATAAAATTAATTAATTTTCTTTAATTTATAATACTTTATCTCCTGTTTACCATAAAAGATATTTGACTTTTAAAAATATTTTTTTATTATTATTAAGTACCTAATCTGCCGTGCTTAATGAAAACGCCGTAACCAACAATTTTGCGATTTTTGGTTTACGGCATTTTCTACTAGAACAATTCATCCTGCGTCTACCCCCGGTACTCAAAAAACCGTATATATATAGATACGGTTTTTTGAGTACCGGGGATAGACGCAGGATGAATTTTTCTAGTAGAAAATGCCGTATACCAAAAATCTCAAAATTGTTGGTTACGGCGTTTTCATTAAGCACGGCAGTAATCCAGTCAGAAGGTTTTTTTTATCTAATGACGTTTTACATCTCTGCAGAAATTTGAAGAATTTTTAAGGTTAAATTGAAGAAAATTGGTATAAAGAATCTGGCAACACTGGGTGTATGTATCTTGCCCACGGTCACAATCCACACAACATTGTGCCCACGGTCTTATATACAGGTCTTGCAACTTCGCCCAATTTCAATAGGAAAAGTGACCTCTCTAATGAGACACCCACCAGATGGCGCATCGAGTTGGATGGATAAACCATAGATGTTTAAAGGTCGTTTTTACCTTCTTTATCTTTAAGCGATTTGTAGCGACTAACCTTGCTGGTTACGGTTGGTATGTCCCCCACTTAAAAATTGTGTCGTCATCCGCTGAATGACGTAGCGGTTAAGTTTCGCTAAAACGCGGTTGGTATTCTCAGAATACTATTCTGTGGTTCAAATATTTGTTTATGTCGACATAACCTAACAAAATATTGGATAAGTTCACAGAAATATATATATATAATATAATATATATATAATATATAAATATATAATATTTCTGTGGATAAGTTATGTTTGTTGTTACGATGTGGCTCCCGTCCCGAGGCGGGACTTAAGTTCAGTCCCGATTGACGTCACACACTGTAAATCCGTTTTTATTCCCCGAGATTTTATAATTTGTGTCAAGCTCGATGGCTTAGATGGTAGGGCGGTCGCTTGGCATGCGAGAGGTACCGGGTTCGATCCCACTAGAAGTTGTCAAACTTTTTTTATTTTTTTATTTTATAAATTTGTTGTTTCTTTGTTAAAAAGTGTTTTATTTTTTCGTAACATAAATTTGCCCATTTTAGTTGGGTTTTTTGCTCAATGGGGCGGGGGGGGCCAATGGGGCGGGGTCGGTTGGGTTGTGTTGTTGAGTTTGGGTTGGTTTGGTTTTATGACGTAACTAAAGTGCCCTTAACATGTATACAGGTACAATTTATTATTATTATTATTTTATTATAACATAACAAATCTTAAAATTATGACGTCAATCGGGACTGAACTTAAGTCCCGCCTCGGGACGGGAGCCACAGCGTTGTTGTTATTTAACGCAGATGAATTATTTTTTAGTGATTTTATGTTTAACTTGTTACTTCTAAATGAAAACAAGACTAAAATAATTTGCAATATTCTTAAAACTTAGAATGCCTGTGCCGGACACTTGTTGGCTAGAAAGCTATCATGAAATTGTCTTTTTTTAACTATTTAGATTGAAAAAAAGTACATTTGATAAACTGCTGAATATTATATTAAAAAATGATACAAACATGCTGGTAAAGAAGAAATATTACGTTTATAACTTTACCATTTAATAGAATATTAGCAGTTTGCATATCACAAATTGCTTTGTAATCCTCCCCTTCATAATTTAAGGTTATTTCTATAAATTCCTTATCCATTTTTAAAAATTGAAATAAACACAACAATAAACATAACCTCTTCTTTCGTAACTTCTTCTTCTTCTTCTTCTATACTTTTTATTCTCTCTTTCGAGAGAATTGGACTTGAGCCGATTAGGCTCTTACTGCCCAGTTACTAGTTTTAACGTCCAATGATTTCCGAAGAACCAAAAACCATTGGACAACGATTGACTAACGAACACGTGGACACAAATAGGTTAAGTAACCTTGAAATTTCAATGTTTATATAAATTCCTCTATTCCTTTAAAAAGGACAAAACGAGGAATATTATCTAGGACTGGAATCCGATTTTGTCCTCCCTGAGTCAAAGTCAACTATATTTCACACTTTTCATGGAGCAATGCACGAGCGATGCGCTTCTCACCGAGGATAAAATCGAACTCTTCTTTCGTAACCAACTCTAACTCACGTCTTGAAGTTCAAGACTTGAACAGGGTTACGACCGGTAACGGAAATGACGAAAATTTATGACGTCATTACGCCCTCCCCTACCATACCGCTTTCTCGCAGAAATAAAATGGTCAGATAACCGATCATACCCGGTAAGACCTAGTTACTCGCTACAAATCGCTTTACAATCTTTAGATAAGCTCTCTGGTGGATAATTTTCTTAGATAGAAGGTTTCTATGAAAGTTATCCGCCAAATAAGCTAACTTAATCTAACGATTGTAAAACCGGCTCCAAGTCCTTAAATTCTATGGGATAAAAGGTAAAATGAACTACCTACTTATGTTCTGTGAAGAAACATAACCTACATTTTTATAAACAAGCTTGTGTATTTTGTTACAGGGAGTTACAATGGTCGTCCGCTGGACGTCCAATGGATATATGTGCTGTCTGGGACATTTGTATTTGTGCTTTTTAATAGACATATGTCATATGAATTCACTTAAGTCCTGTGTTGTGCCAAAATGTAACCAGCAAAGCTATCGTTCCGGCATTAAAATTAAGCTGTCCATGTTTAAAGTGCCAACAAATAAGGAGCGGTTAAAAACATATGGCAATGTGCAATAAAAAACATATTATTGACACCTTCACATTTTGTATAATTATTATATAATTAAGCACATCGTGTTGGTGAAATCTATATTATTTTAAATAAACCACATCCCATCCCCGCCAAGACAATAAAAAAATCGGTTATTAATAAATTAGCCAGAATATTGGTTGGTTATAACCTATAAACTATAGTTTGTAAAGCTTGGCTATGTTTTGTTACTAGAAATTTTGGTTTTCATATTAGCCAAATTGAATTGGATAGTTTACAAATTATCCAGCTATTCCTAAATAATTTCAAGTAAATTAGCCAAGACCCTTGGTTGGTTTACAAACTAGCCGCTAATTTAGTTAAAAATACGTTTTCAATTAAAATAGCTGACAGTTTGGCTAGTTTAACTACCCAGCTACTTTATAAACTATCCATGTTTACACATTAGCCGTAACATATATATGGTATACGTGTGTATTTTAAAACGTATACACACAAATTGTACTAAGCAGTGGCGCGGCTAAGGTCGCAGCCGCAAGCCGCAGCCGCGAGTCGCATCAACGAATCCGTACCTTAACTAACGTGCCTTTAAAATTTCGAATCGCGGCACCTTTGTCAATTAAGCGATCATGCGCAGTAAGAGGAGCCGCCAGTGGCATTTAGCGTCTCGTTTTTTATTGCCATTTCAGTTAGAGGTAGCGATAGTAGACTATCGATAGTGAGAAAAGCGACTATCGATACTATCTATCGATTAACTATCGATAGTTTACTAAAATTTCAAAACCTTATAGTTTAACATTTTATTAAAAAAATAAGGGGTTTATTTTTATAGTAGGCACATTTTCAACCTACCAAATACAGGAGAGTCAAAAATATAGTATAGCACAAGGAGTCCGAACTTTATGTAAACAAGAATCTTCCTAAGATAAGAGGGCGCTGGTGTTCCGTTTATTCTGAAACAATTGACTTATTTGTACCGAAACGCTACCAAAAGAGCAGACGTCAGTACGTATCGACAATCAGCGCCGCTGGTGGTGAAAATACTTAATTTGTGCAATTTAGAGGGTTTTGTCAATTTCCCCTATTAAGTTCGGGCTCCTTGGTATAGTATTTCAATATAAATATCTTCCTTAGTTATTAAAACCTTTATATAAAAATCTATAATAACTATCGAGTTTCAAAACATCAACAATAAAATAATTGACAGCACATATTTGAGACAGTTTACCGTTGGTAAATCTAGGGTCCCTAGATTTTGCCAACTAAAACCCCAAATTTTTAATGACGTCAAATTTCGAATAAAAAACAACGACAGTTATAATAATTTTGTTTGATTCTACTATCGCTAGACGATAGTTTGTAACTATCGATAGAATCGATAATTCGATAGTTTTTAAAATATCGAAACTATCGATAGACTATCGATAATATCGCTACCTCTAATTCCAGTACTTTAATTTTTCTACTACTGGCAACACTGTCTGTCAGTTCTTTTAAAGATATGTTAATTATATTTATTTGCTTACTACAAATATAATATTAACAATTTTAAAAGTGTTCATTAGATTAAATTTGTTATAATTAATTTAATATTAATATATTAGCCAAAAGCTTGGACCATAGAAAAAAACCTTTGGTTACGCATAACCTTAATGTGTTGTGTAAATTTGGATTATGTTCTGTGATTTGGATGAACAATACAAAAAATACTATTTTGCAATGAAAGGATTTTAATGCATTTTGAAATTATGGACTACGAATTACCAACCAATTTTGATGTAGTTGTAGTGGGAACTGGTAAGTTTTTGCAAGCAGTGGTTTAAATACCTTTGCTATACCAAATTATACCATGTAACTTGGAAACGGAAACACCTGTAGAGCATAATTCATATAAACTATTATTATTATTTTTTAGTAAGAAATCCACGAATTATTTTTTTAATCTTTTAAATGTTTTCAGAAACCTACTCAGGTGAGTGACAGCTGTCACCTGAGAAGGTAAACCCAAATATAACACAGTACAACAAAATTTGAATTTTTTTCCCTCCCATGAAAAACTCCTATAGATTTGAAAATAGACTTAAAAAAATGTTACCTGTGTCTCAGCGTTTTTTCAGATCAAGTCATATTTTAAGTGCAATCCAATAAAATGTTATCCACGGTATTCAGCACATAATATAACAGCTTTGATAACAGCTGGACTGTATCTTTCAATGAATAAATGGACAACCATTAATATTATTTATATATAAATAATATTATATATACAGGGTGTGCCACATTTAAGAAATACGGGTGTTTCACTTTTGTGGTCCATTGAAAGTTTCTGAGGAACAGCAAGAGATATTGATTTGAAACTTTTAAAGCGTTTATAATAATAATTAAAACATTGTTTAAAAGATTCCATGTGGATTCTTTAACATTTTTTAACAAATTACCCAAGAAAAGCCAGGACAAATTAGGCTAACTTAAAACAATAACTTTTTTATTTTAAATGAAACACCCTTTATAAATAAATAAATTTAATAATTAGAGATATTTACCAATTTTAAATATTAGACCCAGAATAGTCAAGAAGAGCAACGTCTAATGTAGAAATAAGAATTAAGAAATGCTTGAATGTTAATTGAAAATTTAGTAATAAATTAGTAATAAAAATGGTTGGTTTATTAAATTGTTACAGTTATGCATTATTTTTGTTATTAAATATATTTTATTGTCTACAATGAGCTAGTGCTTCATCTAGTTGACATTCGACAGTCGATAAATCACAAAACTGTTTTTATAAAACAAATTGTAGGTAATTTATTTTATATTATTTTTGCATCAAAATTGTCAAATATATTCTTCTTTTATTAGGCTATGCAATAAATCAAAAAACGCAAAAAATATTTTATAAAAGTAGAGATAATTTTAATAATTGACAGGTGTGGATGGGACAACATAAATCTTTCAATTATTAAAATTATCATTACTTTTCGACCATTCCAAGCCCATGGACAGGACACATCAGAAACATGTCTAAATATATTCTTGTTACTTCCTTAAGTTTACTTATTTTTTCTACGAGTATTTATGAGAAGTATTTGGCTAATACTTCTCATAAATACTCGTAGAAAAAATAAGTAAACTTAAGGAAGTAACAAGAATATATTTAGACATGTTTCTGATGTGTCGTGTCCATGGGCTTGGAATGGTCATTTTATAAAATATTTCTAGCGTTTTTTTTTAAATTTAATGTATAGCCTAATAAAAAAAGAATATTTTTGACAATTTTTGATGCCAAAATATTAAATAATAAATTATCTACAATTTTTTTTATAAAAACAGTTTTGTAATTCGTACGTTTCGCGCGCTTGAAATGGCCGATTCTACTGGTCGTTTTATAAAATATTTCTAGCGTTTTTTTTTTAAATTTAATGTATAGCCTAATAAAAAAAGAATATTTTTGACAATTTTTGATGCCAAAATATTAAATAATAAATTATCTACAATTTTTTTTATAAACAGTTTTGTAATTCGTACGTTTCGCGCGCTTGAAATGGCCGATTCTACTGGTTTGTTGATTTTTTTCAAAATTAGCAAATAGGTACTTTTAAATTTTAAAAACATTTGGCTTGTCAATGTTTTTTTAAATTCACTGACTTCTTTTTTATCAGTAATTTTGTTTACAAAATACTTAATTAGTCAACAAATAATAATAATAATAATAATAATATAATCTTTATTTCATAAAAAGCAAAGGTTCATATAGGTTTTATAAAATTGCATTTAAGAAATAGATGTCAAAGACAGAAAAATGGATCTAAACATTTGGTAAGTATTCATTTATACAATATGGTTCAGACTACAAGAAATTCAAAAACTTGACATTTAAAAGTATTATAGGAACTTAGGACCTTATACTATTAGGTAATTGATTGAATAATTTAATACACATATAAAAAACATTTTTTTCTGTGGCTGTAAGCCTGTGAATAGGATACATATAATCAAATGAACGAGTATGATAACAATTAACTTTTTTATATTTTTGGAACAAACTGATGTTCTTGAAAAAAAAACATTAAACATTGATAGATATAAACACCACTAACAGTTAGAACTTTTAATTGTCTAAATTTACCCCTACATGAGGTTCTTGAAGATAAACCCAATATTTTTCTTACTGTCCTTTCCTGAATAACAAACACATTTTTAATATCGCCGGTACTTCCCCAAAAAATAATACCAAAACTCAAGATTGAGTTAAAATTTGCATGATATAACATCTTTAGTGTGTCGAGGTTAAGGTATATAACACTCTAAAACTATACAAAACTTTGTTTAACGTGTCACCCAACTAGCATTTATGGTGGCAGATACGTAACTGCTACTATCAAAGCCACTACAAAGGGGGCGGTGACCATCGGCGGCTACGTTGTATATTCGTAGCTGCTAAGTAACTGCGACCAAAATGGGGAAAGATTTTGAGTAGCCGGGTAGTGTCTTGGGTAGTTTTTGCCACTAAAAGAGTTACTACGATATGGCACTATAAAGTAGCCTACCGTTGAATGCGACTTATCTGTTACGAAGCTGCCTAGTCGCGGGTTCGTGGCAGCCTAGTGTTTTGCCACCGACATGTAGAACTTTCATTAAACTGTTAAACTTTATTCGCAGCGACCTCTTCAGTTTCACACTTCATAAAAATAAATGTCATGATGGAAAGTAATTATGGAAGCCATTATTATTTTTTTGTTATTTACCATGCGATTTTAACGCCTTTTGTGGGTCAATTCCAAAACGCAATCGACTTTACTGAATAAAATAGTGGGTTTATATGACAAAATTTTCGAGCGCCTTTCAAAACATTTCAAATTATTAAATTATTTGCAATAGAAACTCATGTAGTAATTAAAAAAAAAATTAATTTGCTTAAAACTGGCGTGAAACTTTAAAATATTAGTCCACCGTCACAAATAACAAAATATCTAAGGAAAAAATCTTTAGTTTAGGTATATTTAGCTTAAAAACGCAAAATGTTTGAGCCATTTGGCTGTTCGTCTGAAAAGTCATGAAAAAAATATGGCCGTTTAATCCGAAAAATACTTTATAGTTCCATATGCTTCCACAAAGTACCGGGAACAATAATATATTAGGCTTACCCTACCCGTTTGGAACTTTAAAATCTTCGGATTGATAAAGTGACAATTGCAACTACCCAGAGACGACTTTATGGAAACAATAACTTTTTGGGAACTACATGGTCCACGATTCTTTGGAACATAAAGTGATTTTTTCCAAGAAAGTTCCCTGCGCCACTAAATTGCCACTTAATTGCAGCGTTTATGCTACACCGATCGCGGCGTGCCACTATAACGTTCCGCCTTGTCCTTTGAAGTTCCCGTTTGGCGACGCGAGAATCATATTTTTTGTAAAATGCAAATTGAATATTATCAAACCTAATGTTTTACTGGTTATTGCAATTCTTATGATCACATGACAATTATTCATTTATTTTCAAAAAAATTAATTATTATAAAAAAACAGGACCCACACCGTTTATGACGTCACTTCCGTCTCGTGTCGTTTTTTCTAGGTTTATTAATTACTCTCTTAAATCTTGAAACGTTCTCTTCCACTTAATCTTCGAATCCACGACTTAAGTAGAGAGCATACAATATTCATTTTTACATAGCCCAAATACCTACAAGTAAGGCAGAATGAATAACATTCATCAGCCCAAGATTTGAACGCTTGACTCAGGTGTAGAAATCAGAACATACATCAACTTTGACTGCAAATACTTCAGGGAAGTATTGATAAACTTGACCCATTAAAAATATTTAGCACCTTGAATTTCTTATATTAAATTCCTATTCATTACAAAATATTTAAAGACTATTAATAATATTAATAATATTCATCAGCACCTCGATCAGAACGAGATTTGAACACTTGACTCAGGTATAGAAGTCAGAACATGCATCAACTTTGAATGTGAATAGGTACTTCAAACTGTTTGAATCAAACAGCTTTAAAAATGTCACTACCTGATTTATGATGTTCATCAGTACGATTATAGAAAGATGTAGTTTTTGTTTCTGATGTTGATGCTTCGGCTCCCAGTGATTCCTTTTGTTTAATTCTTTGATAGAAAGTACTAGAATATCTAAATTTCTTTTTATTTACCTTAAGCATTTTACAGAATTTTAATAAAGCTTAAAAGCAAGAAAAGAAAACACCAAAACAGAGCAGCACACTATAGTGCGTAACATATATGCATATATGCAATCTAAGGCAATTACATTTATTAGGGTATATTAAGTTATGGTCACTATTAAGTAGCCATTTTTGATCCCCGCGACTTTTTAGTGGCAAAGGATAAGCGACGGCTACTTTATAGTGACCTAGGAAGGTCGCAGTAACCATTTTGTTACTTTCAATGCTACTATAAATTAGAGGTAACCAGGTGTCGTGGCCGCGACTACCCCGTAACTTAAATTGTTACTATAAAGTAACAAAAACTTAATGGAGGCATTATGGTAGCACTTGTTGGTGACCGCTACTTTAAAAAGTTACTATAAAGTTTTTGGTCTTTTATGGTGTCATATTCGAAGATTCAGGTAGTTCCAGCCACTTCTTTAAATTACATGTTTGCCACTTGCAATCGGTGTGTTTATTTTCCACTTTTATGGTAGGTAGGCACTAACCAGTCACTCTCGAAACATACTTCAAAGTGACTATTCCTTATAGAGTAACATTTTAAGTGGCAGGGTGGGTCTAGGAACTATACTTTAGGGGCAGTGACATTTAAA